GCGCAAGCAACTTGAAGCGCGGCTCGGTTCGACAGTCTGAGGTGACCCAGTCTCCCCGCCGGCCGGATACTCGCGCTTGTCGTCGTCGCCCCGTCCGTGGCTCGCCATCGATTTTTCCCGGGCCCCCCGGTCCCCGGTCCGCGCCAGTGATCTTTTGTGCGTTCCGTCGTGCGTTTTTCGGTGCATTTCGGGCTCTGTGCAGTGCTCCCCGCGGCCTTTGGATTGCGTCCGCCCCCGCCCCCGCCGCCCACTCACGCTCAGGTATTGATGTTCGTCCCTGTGTGACGGCCCGCTCGCCTCCAGGTTAGCATCGCAGACCAACAGGGACCCTCCGCTAGCCTCTCGGCGACAGGTGGAAACCTCTATTTTCGGAGCTACAACGCTCGACCCTTGAACTTGGAAGCACCTCCTTGTTGCCTGTTGAGTGTCGTGTTGAGAAAAATGTTCAGAGAATACGCTAATGTTTGGTAAACTTGCTGGGCGCATTGTTTGGCCTATAAGTTTACAAGCAACATGGACTGTTGCTGCCTATCAGCTAATGTTGAATCTACGAAGGTAAAGGTATCCATAAAACCAAGATTCCAGCGGAGGATGCCTATTTGTCTGTGACTTCTTCACGAGAAATTCTAAATATGAATTGAGTCCTTTCTATAGCCTCTCGGTGACAGGTGGAAACCTCTATTTTCGGGGCTACAACGCTCAACCCTTGGAAGTGCCTCCTTGTTGCCTGTTGAGTGAGGTTCGCGATCAGCGGATACGCTAATGTTTGGTAAACTTGTTGGGCGCATTGTTTGGCCTATAAGTCAGCAGGCAACATGGACTGTTGCTGCCTATCAGCTAAGCTGAATCTACGAAAGTAAAGGTATCCACAAAAACCCAGATTCCAGAGAAGGATGTCTTTTTGTCTCTGATTTCTTCACGAGAAATTCCATGGACGAATTGAAACCTTTTTATAGCCTCATGGTGACAGGTGGAAACCTTTATTTTCGGGGCTCCAACGCTCAACTCTAGGACTTGGAAGCATCTCCTTGTTGCCTGTTGAGTGTCGCGTTGAGGAGAACATCCAGAGGATACACTAATGTTTGGTAAACTTGTTGGGCGCATTATTTGGCCCATAAGTCAGCAGGCAACATGGACTGTTGCTGCCTGTTGGCTGAGGTTGAATCTGCGAATGTAAAGGTACCCATAAAAACCAAGATTCTAGCGGAGGATGTCTATTTGTCTCTGACTTCTCAATGAGAAATGCCAAATACGAATGGAGACCCTCCACTAGCCTCTCTATGACAGGTGGAAACCTTCACTTTCGGGGCTCCAACATTCAACCCTTCGAAGTATCATCTTGTTGCCTGTTGAGTAACGTGTTGAGCGATGCGTTTGGCGAACAGGTCAATGTTTGGTAAACTTGTTGGGAGCATTGTTTAACATAAAGCTCAACAGCCAACTAAGAGGTAAACTGACTATTGCTGCCTATCAAACTAAGTTGAATCCATGAAAGTGAAGGTATCCCCTATCACCGCCGGGATTCTAGTAGAGGGTGTCTAGTTGTCTCTGATTTCATCACAAGAAATTATAACGATAGATTAGAGTCTCTCCCTCAGCCTCTCGGCGACAGATGGAAACCTCTGTTTTTGGGGCCTCACCAGTGATCCCTTGAAGGCACCTTCTTGTTGCCTGTTGAGTGACGTGCTGAGTGGTTTGTTAAGGAAGCAAGCCAATGGTTTGGGAACTTTTTGGGCGCATCGCTTGACCTGGAATTCAACAACCAACAAGGAGGTACATAGAATTTTGCTGCCTATCAGCTTATGTTGAGTATCCAGGGTATATGCAGGCCTCAAAAGTGAAGGCATGTCTCATTGCCGGAATACTGGAGGAGAGTCTGCATTTGCCTCTTACTCCTTCACAAGAAATTCTAAAGACAAATAGAGACCATCTATAAGATTCTTGGTGACAGATGATGTTCCTTTTTTCGGAGCTTTACCCCTGAACTTTTAAAATTCTCCTCTTGTTGGCTTTTTGGGTTATCTTTTGAGCAATTCGATCGGCAACTATTCGGAGCTCAACAGCCAACAAGTCTCCACTTTCCGCCTAGAAGCAAGAGGAGGGCCTCTGTTTTTTTTCTGGTGTGCATGCACGTACCGTACATAAAAATGTATACTATTTCATGGTGTCTAGGACTCTGGAATACCAGAAAGTACAGGGAGATGGAGAACCTCTGGAAAATCAAGGAATTCATTTAGGAATCTCTTGAAAAATCAAGGAATTCATTTAGGAGTTGATATTAAAATCTATTTCCTCCTTCATCTGCACTAAAATCTCACAGGATTGACGTTTTGCTATCCTAAATGAAGTTTGAAGCGAAATAACGCAAGTTGGCGTAAAACTTCGGAGAAAACAAGTACCATTTCTCCTCTATTTGAACCTCCTACAAATATTCGATTCCAAGTGAGGCAGATTGCCTCGATATAATCGATTGTAAGTGCATCCACATGGACGGAAGCAACTGTTGCCAGCTTCCGAGTTTCGCTATTTCTACTTGATTTCCCGCACCAGACAAATCTGGTTTGTCTCTTACAGTGTGAAAAAGCTATTTTTTGTCTTGAAATCTGAATGATTATAGCTCTTCACGAGAAAATCTAAGGAATAGTGAGGGAAAATTGTGGGTTTTCATTGGAGAATTCGCTCCTTAAAATCAGGAAATTATCTAGCAATAAGAAAATTTCAGAGCTCTAGACACCTTGTAGTGCCTTGGGGTAGCTTTGTCACGTTATAGCTGACATATTGAAGAAGTGCGGGTTGCATACCCTCAATTCAAAGCCTGCTGAGCGAGTGTCTGCAACCCTCAGTCTGTGTACTCGGTAAACATGCCTCTTTTTTTTCTGCGCATGCCTCTATAAACTCTCGCGTTCCTCTAGATTTTATTATTTACGTTAGACAATTTGATTTGAAGGAATGGGAGTCAAAAACCCTCGCATCCAAAAGTTACTCATAACTTGAGTCGTTATATCTGCAATACCTTTTCTCATATTTTAATTTCTTTCAATGTAAGAGGATCTGGATGTATAATTCTACTCAGGGTATCAGTAATGCTTATTTAATTTAATCCGTCGTAAACAAAGTTTCCATAACTTAGAATATGTGTTTTTGATTTAGATTTTTTTATGCAGAACACAGGGAGGGCCTGAATTATAAAATTAATCTTTAGGGAAAAAGAAGGCACTCGCTCAGACAGCTTGAGAATTTTTCGAAACTTGTTATTTTGTCATCAGACTTCCTTCACCATGTACATTTTCCATGTCGTTTATTTTACCCACACATGTTTTTAACCACACACTTACTCAGACTCTCATATGGTAAAACGCAAACCTATATATTTTTTAAGGATACCTTGCAAGGATTTGTTTTCTAAGTTATCTGGTTGATTAATCCAGGTAATACATCATTAGTGGTCCATATCCATATTCATACATCATTAATAGTGTGACTTTGATATTCATCACGATGTTTAAGTATTAAATACTGTAGGTATTATGTTATGTTGAAGGCTTCCATGAACTTTCCTCAATCACAGTGTAAACCTGTGGAGACTCCCTGGGAGAAAAAAAAAACTGTTTAAGGAGCAAAGATAAATCTTACCGTGCTGAGAAAACACGCCGTATATATCTCGGGCTGTTGCCAAATTGCTTGCGATAAATATATATTTTTGAAGAAATTATGAATATTCCTCATTAAAATTTTCAGATACCTCAGATCACATTACGAATGACATTTTCAAAACATTTAAAAGACAAATATTCACATTATTCCTTGAAAGTTGGTTTTTATCCTAGAAGATTGGGAACGTCTGAAGGCTCTTACGACGTTCCTTAGCATGGCAGAATAGGGATCCTATAATCGATAGTTAATCGTATCATTCGTAACGAATCAAAATGGAGGGAAACAGTGTTGCCAACTTGCAGTAATCACCTTCGGGGCTAGAGAAGAAGAAAGATTTAGTTAAGAATTTGGCAATGTTTAAAGGCTCTTGCGTTGTTTTTCTTCAGCATGGCAGAATAGGGTTCCTATAATCAATAATTAATCGAACAATTTATAACGGGTAGGGACGGAGAAAAACAGTGTTGCCACCTTGCTGTAATCATCATTGGGGTTAGAGAAAAAGAAAGTTTTGGTAAAGAATTTGGCAACGTCTGAAGGCTCTTACGGTGTTCTTCCTCAGCATGGCAGAATGGGGTTCCTATAATCAATAATTAATCAAATAATTTATAACTGGTAAAAATGGAGAAAAAAGCGCGTTGCCAACTTGCTGAAATCACCGTTGGGTCAAGGGAGAAAGAAAGTTTTAGTTAAGAAGCGGAGCTGTCAACAATCGCTGATAATTCCGAAGCGTTTGAGCGTTCTGTTGGGATGGCTCGGGGAGGTGGAAGGAGCGTGGAGGGAATTATAGGGGAATAGGGTTCCTATAATCAATAATTAATCAAATAATTTATAACTGGTAAAAATGGAGAAAAAAGCGCGTTGCCAACTTGCTGAAATCACCGTTGGGTCAAGGGAGAAAGAAAGTTTTAGTTAAGAAGCGGAGCTGTCAACAATCGCTGATAATTCCGAAGCGTTTGAGCGTTCTGTTGGGATGGCTCGGGGAGGTGGAAGGAGCGTGGAGGGAATTATAGGGGAATAGGGTTCCTATAATCAATAATTAATCAAATAATTTATAACTGGTAAAAATGGAGAAAAAAGCGCGTTGCCAACTTGCTGAAATCACCGTTGGGTCAAGGGAGAAAGAAAGTTTTAGTTAAGAAGCGGAGCTGTCAACAATCGCTGATAATTCCGAAGCGTTTGAGCGTTCTGTTGGGATGGCTCGGGGAGGTGGAAGGAGCGTGGAGGGAATTATAGGGGAATAGGGTTCCTATAATCAATAATTAATCAAATAATTTATAACTGGTAAAAATGGAGAAAAAAGCGCGTTGCCAACTTGCTGAAATCACCGTTGGGTCAAGGGAGAAAGAAAGTTTTAGTTAAGAAGCGGAGCTGTCAACAATCGCTGATAATTCCGAAGCGTTTGAGCGTTCTGTTGGGATGGCTCGGGGAGGTGGAAGGAGCGTGGAGGGAATTATAGGGGAATAGGGTTCCTATAATCAATAATTAATCAAATAATTTATAACTGGTAAAAATGGAGAAAAAAGCGCGTTGCCAACTTGCTGAAATCACCGTTGGGTCAAGGGAGAAAGAAAGTTTTAGTTAAGAAGCGGAGCTGTCAACAATCGCTGATAATTCCGAAGCGTTTGAGCGTTCTGTTGGGATGGCTCGGG